TCCCTCTGACCCTCCCCCCTCTCATGCTCTCTGTCTCTCATTCTCTCTCTCTCAAATAAATAAATAAAATCTTTAAAAAAAAAAAAAAAAAAGCTACAGTAATCAAGACAGTGTAGAATTGGCAAAAGAACAAATGGGTCAATGGGACAGAACAGAGAGCCCCAAAATAGACCCACATAAAAATAGTCAGCTGATCTTTGACAAAAGAGCAAAGGCAATGACAGTCTTTTCAACAAATATGCTGGAACAACTGCACATCCACATGCAAAAAAAATGAACCTAGACACAGCCTTACACCCCTCACAAAAATTGACTCAAAATGTATTATAGATCTAATGTAAAACTGTAAAACTCCTAGAAGATAACATAGGAGAAAATATAGATAACCTTGGGTATGGCAGTGACTTTTTGTATACAACACCAAAGGCACGATCCATGAAAGAAACAATTAATAGACTGACTTCATTAAAATTAAAAACATCCACTCCGCAAAAGACAATGTCAAGAGAATGAGAAAACCAGCCACAGACTGGGAGAAAATATTGGTAAAAGACACATCTGATTGAGGACTGTTATCTAAATATAAACAACTCATAAAACTCAACAATAAAAAAAATAAATAACACAATAAATGGACCAAACATTTCAATGGGCACGTCACCAAAGAAGATGTACAGATGGCCAATAGGAATATGAAAAGATGCTCCAGATCATATGTCATCAGGGAAATGCAAATTAAAACAACAATGAAATACCACTGCATACCGATTAGAATGGCTAAAATCTGGAACACTGACAACACCAAATACTAGCAGGGATGTGGAACAACAGAAAATCTCATTCAAGGCTGATGGGAATGCAAAATGGTATAGCTACTTTGGAAGACAGTTTGTTCTCTTACAAAACTAAACATGTTCTTACCATACAATCCAGCAATCAAGCTCCTTGGTATTTACCCAAAGGAGTTGAAAACTTATGTTCTCACAAAAGCCTGTATGCAGCAGCTCATAGCAGCTTTATTCATAACTGTCCAAATTTGGAAGCAACCAAGATATCTTTCAGTAAGTGAAGGAATAAATAAATATGGTACATCCAGAAAATGGAAAAATTCAGATGAAAAAAAAAAAAGATACAAGCTATCAAACCATGAAAAGACATGAAGGAAACTTAAATGTATATTTCTCAGAAGCCAGTCTGATTCCAACTATATGATGTTCTCGAGAGGGCAAAACTATTGAGACAATAAAAAGATTAGGGGTTGACAGGGGTTGCGGGGAGAGGGGTGAATAGGTAGAGCACACAGGATTTTCAGGGCTGTGAAAATATTCTGTATGATCCTATAAAGATGTATGCATATTGTTCTATATTTGTCCAAACCCATAGAATATAACAACTCCAAGAATGAACCCTACTGTAAACAATGGACTTTGGGTGATTATAATGTGCCAGTGTAGGTTCATCAACTGTAAACAAATACGCCACTCTGGTGGGGGTGTTGATAATGGGAAAGGCTATGCACGTGTGGAGACAGGAGGGCTATGGGAACTCTCTGTACTTTTCTCTCAATTTTGCTGTGAACCTAAAACCACTCTTCAAAAAAGTCTTAAGTATTTTTTTTAAATCTGTATTTCAGGCTGGGGCGCCTGGGTGACTCAGTTAAAGCATCCAACCTTGGTTTCGGCTCAGGTCATTATCTCAGGGTCATACGATCAAGCTCTGCATTGGGCTCCCACTCAGCACAGAGTCTGCTTGGGATTCTCTCTCCCTCTCCTTCTGCGTCCCCTGCGTTCTCCTGTTCGTCCCACACACATACTCTCTCTCTTTCTCTC